TATGTCACAGTCAAAGTGTTAATTTAAATAAATATATACACTGATTGCAGCGGACTAAGTGTATACATTTACTGAGTTAACACTTTGATTGTGACATATGCAGGGAAAAAATGTTATACATATATATGGACATATTTTATATACAATTATATATAATTGTACATAAAATATGTCAATGTTTTGTATAATTATATATAATTTTATGTAATTTTATATAATTATATATACGAAACATTTTTTCCCTGGCATATATACAATTTTTATGTTTTGTCAAGATTATTCCACGAAAATGGCCTCTGTTATCTACCAAAGAGGCTATCAACGAAGATGCTGAGCAATACAATGCGCAGAAATTTCGGCATCCAAATTGTATGAAAATCAAAGCATCGATATCGAAACAGATCTATTTGGGAGATAGATTTTTACCCTCTCGACGCGGTTATAATTTCGATATGGCTCATTATCTGTTAATGAAGGAGAAACCAACAGAGAAAACGAATGTAATAGATGTTTGTAAAGAGGTACGAATGTACAAAACAATATCCATTTATGATTCTAATTGCGTAATCGTATTTTAATACTCTTAAAAAAACAGGTTGATTCGCTGGATACTACATACCGACGTAAGGCTTTGCGTGCGATAATGTTAGAACAGGTTTTAATACCAGGTAATGTTTGATTGTAGTAAAATGTATATCCAGTTAATTATATAATTGTTCTAATTAATAAAGCTAATTAATATAAAAGTATACATTCGCCTAGAATACTTCTGTTTTGTATCTTGTAGTTTCTAGATAAAAAGAATTCTAAACTTTAGGCGATCTATAATTCACATCATCAGATTTCAGAATAAAATATTGTTTATAATTCTTTATGTGCTATGTATTTTGATACACGAGTGTAAACTTGAATATATATTTTATATAATATATGTATACATTCTAATTTTTTAAACGTTTCTCACATTACAGGAACATATAAAAATTATAAATAGCATTACAACATACAAAATCAATAATTATTATTCATTTTTATATACAAAAATAATATCTTGAAAAAGCAAATTATAGATTGTTTGACGTCTAAAGAAACATTAGTTGCTTAGGATTTTTGAAATGTATTTTCATCTTTTAAACATATGATGAATTAATAAAATGAAAGAAAAATATGCTTCTCGATAGAATTAGATCAAGACAAGATTTTACGCTTTAGCGGCTTGATGGTGCGACGACCTCGGAATCCGCCGCGTTCGGAATACGAGAAGAAAGATGGTTGGAAGTGCATATCCCGCAAGAAGATTCTGATAGGAAGTGCGGAAAAGATGTTGTCTGTGCCCGAAGATGTAGTCTCTTTGCAAGGTACGTAATTGATTCAAAGTAATTCAGATTTATCTGTTAAATCCGTATCTCTCAGATAACTTCTGATGTTGAAGGGAATAATAATATGGCGATGGATTGGAGTTGCAATAACATGTTGGCCGTGTCCAATAATGATCGCCTGATTGTATATGATAATGATGGTGAAAAGGTATCATCCAGTGTCATCCGATGTAAGTCGATAACTTATAATAACAATCAAATCACCGACATTAAATGGGCCAGTGACGGTGAGTGTAACATAAAAAAAAATGGGAAATAGCGTTACATGTTACGTATCATCTTTGAATACAAGCATGTGACATGTGTCGCACAAATAATGATTGTTTCGAATAATTTGATATCGACAAGTCTACGCGATAATTACAATACTCTTTTTACAAGTTATATATATTTCTATCACGTTTTAACGTTGAAAAAAAGTTTAGCAAGTGTAACAGCAAAAATGATGTTTTGTTGCATTATTAAGATCTGTTGCCAGACAAGTAGAAAATAATTATATAATATATACATAATACGTGTCCCATTTTAATCTAAATAATAAACATAAATTGTTCGTGTAATTTTAGGCAATAAATTGATAATGTCCGTCCTCTTTCCTGAAAACGACACTTCAATGCTCGTGATGTACGATTTGAAAAAGCAAAAAATCTTGTGGGACGTCATGTGTAAATGTCGATTGGAAGAAAAAGGCTGTGTTATGCGTTGCGTTTGCTGGTCAGCTTACGATCGTCAAATCGTCACGTAAATATCAAGTTTATAATTAAAAACTATGGCACACAAAAAAACGTAAGCTAAATAAGACGTAAGGAGTAAGTGAATCGGTCAATCGTAATAGAGATGTAAGGTAATAACATAAACAATAGCAAATCTAAAACTCATTCTATAATTGCATAGGCGTATAAATCGTAAGTAATTGTAATTAAAAGAATTGACTACGTAATTAAATATGAAGATAATATTATAGACCAATAAAATATTAATTTACTTATTGCTTAAATGTTTTTGTGCGCTATAGTCTTAATTCTGCGAAATTTCTTTGCGGATATTAATTCTTTGCAATAGTAGAGTACGTATTAGATGTCCTAATTATTTTTTTTTCGAGCGTGGAACAAAAAATTTTTAGCTAAAGCACCTAGGATTATAATGCTATAAGTAAAATGTATTTCAAATTCAATGTATCATA